AGTTATTTACTTTAAAGTTATCAAACATTTGAAGAAGTTAAAATTTTAAAATTTCTTAAATATCCATATGGGAAATACACACACACACAGCACCCCAAGAAGCACCATGAAAGAGAAATTCCAAAAACAACAATAATTTTGGTTGGTTTGCTAGGAAGGCTTCAACATTTTTGGTTTTGTCTAGGTTTGCTCTTTTGTCTTATTATTATTATTTTCTTCTTCTTTGTTATTATGTTCTTCTTTTGAGCCTTCAATAGATTAGAATAATCAAATAGTAGTTGAGGAACTTCTCAACTACTCCCTAATTATAATTACAATAGAATCTAGAATTTTGGTATTTCATGTTAGATGTGACATTGACACGATTGTATCCATTTTTTTTAATAGATGTTATCATTGGTTATATTCCCTTCATATTAAGTAATTTTTAAGATTTGAGATTTTTCTATTATCAATAATTTTAGAAATGAGTAATCTATTCAAAAAAAAAAAAGGAAGAAAAGATTGTTCTAATTTCATTCTAATCTCCATTTCTTTTAATAAATAGTAAAACTAAAGGGATAATCAATGCCTCCCACTTCACAAATTACCATCCGACCATTGTTGACAAAATAAACAATTGTCACTCAAATGATAACCTGTTATAGAGGAAGCGGATACAAACCCAAGCCCATGCCTCAAGCTAGGAAGGTAAAAATTGTGGGGAGAAACAAAATGAATAGAACAATAATTGCTCAAGAAAAAAAAAAAAAATATATATATATATATATATAAGAAGGAAATGGAATAAGGTTTTTCATATACAAAAAAAAGCCAATAATGCCATTCATATCATTGATATTATTTATTTAATGGAAAGTTTGATATAAGCATAATTTAATATAACATTCAAAATACATACCTCTTGAAATCTAGTTATTTTAAAGTGATCTAGTTATTTTAAAATGAGGTCTTTATGACTCAAGGATAAAACATTTAAATATTTTAGAAAGTTATGGTAAAAAAATGATGAATGGCTAGAATGAAAGGGTTAACATTTAGCAAATCATGACAACAGTAAGGGAATGAAAACTAACAAGTAACTAGAAAATAAGGCACACATAAAGAGAGAGAAGAAGAAGCAATGTCAAGAGAGAGGCAGAAGACTAATTAAATAATAAAGATAAAGGTCTTCGATAAATATGATTTCTAGAATTAACTGAAAGCAAAACTAGGTTTGGGTTCAAGCCCAACCAAAGTTTAAGAGTTAAAAGCGAATAAAAGTAAAATTATAGAAGAAAAAACAAGAATAATAAATAAAGATACATTGTAGAAATTTCAAAACCACCCATACAACATAAAAGCCCAACAATAAGTGGAAGCCCAAGCCTAAACCCAAGTGAGAGTTCAAAGCTAGGATATGCAAAGCTGTGGAAGATACAAATAGATAAAGATACATGACTGAAGTTTGAAAATCAAACGCATGAAGAAAAAAAAAGTTTGTTAAATAATCACAACTTACAATAAAACCTCGCAAATATGGCCAATCCATTCCAATCATTACTTATGGTAATGTCAAACCATTGTGGTAATTATTTATACAAATAGAAAGAACTGCTTCAAACATCAAGAATAACTTTTCACTTGGAATCTGACAAAAGAAAATGAAAAATTAGATTTTAAACAAATGCGTAATAAAATTAGGCACAAGTAATTAATTTCATCGTTGAAATTGAAGGAATTTGAGAAAATTTCAGTTCAACTTCGGTTCAAGGACAATTATGACAGTCTGTTCATAGCAACATTTATGAAAAAAAGAATTAATATTTTTTTCAATATTACAGTTTGATTTTTTTACAGGTTGTTTAAATAAACATATCAAATTGTTGCACAATATTTTGAAAAATATTTCTTTAAATAGTAAAAGCATTAAAGTAGAGAGTTAGGCATACCATTAAGCATAACCAACTGAAGAATTTTAACATTGTCCCTCGCTGGCTAAGGATTCACTGTGTACAAAAAATGAAATGGTATTAAGAATGTTTCTTTATCCAAAAAATTATTAAAAAGCTAAAAAAATAGATAGTATAAATTTTTATCTTTTTTTTTGTGCAAGAACTAACAGTTTAAATTTTAAATAATTTCAAAATTCTCATATTGTTTGGAATCTCTAACTAATTGTTTAATATTTATTAAATATTAGCAAATAGAGATGCAGAGTATTCAATTATGTAGTTTAAAAAAAAAGGAAAAGTAACCAAACCAATAAACTACGAAATAGATATATAGACATTAAAAATCCTTTAGTTGGAATTCTATACCTCCAAACTCTAAATTGCCAAGCTAAATTAACTTTTAATTAAGGAAGTAATTACCTTATAATTTCACGCAATTATGATGGAAGGAATGTGTCGAACTTTGTGAAAATCTTTTCCTTCTCTCCTGCCCATGACTTGTAGGCGGTTTGTAAATTTTTGAGGCATCCAAAAAATGACTAATTCCTTGAGTGTGGTGACGAACCTCAAACCATCTGGAGTCGTCTTCAGTTTCATGCAACAGATTATTTTTAATATAGAAAGACTCGGCAACGCTCCTTCTTCCAATTTCCACTTCTCTAACTCGCTTAAACTCTCAAGTCGCAAATATGTAAGATGAGGGAAACCTCCTGCTGAACAAGCCATCTTCTTCCCAAAAAAAGTACTTCTTAACTCTAGTGACCTCAAGTTACGCAACTTCTCCAATATAGGCATGGGGTCTTTTTCAAGTCTGGAGTCAGCTAAGAACAAATTGGTGAGGCTACTGGAAGAGATCTCACCATGGGACAGTGTCGGTATCTGCTTTATTGGCCCATTTATTAACACGTCATTAAAGAGATGACCTATTAACAATTGTTTTAACAATTTTAACTCTTCTTTAGAATTAAAACTACATTCATCAAACTCAATGGAAGAGTCATGGAGGCCCAGAGGACGTTTCTTGGTTGAGCTAGTTTTGCAGTTGCACAGGTTGATTATTTCCCCATTATCCTTGGTCACGCATGCTTCTTTCAATTGTTGAAGATTGGACAATTTACACAAATCATAGATGTTACAAGTGTTCGAGTTGAAGCCTTCTAAAGTCTCGAGATTGACCAACCCTTCTAATCGCAATTTTCCTTTTGTTGTAAAAGCTCTAGGAAGATAGAGATGTATGAGATACTCCATTTTCCACAACACATTGGGTATATATATATTCAATGACCTTAAATCAAGTGTCTGCAAATATCCCAACTTACTTATTGATGATGGTATCCTCCAGGTCGAACAATCTCTACAACTTAAGTATTTAAGGTGGATTGACCTTTTTATTACCTTTTCGAACTGCCTCTTACTCAAATGAATGGACTTTCCCTCAAGATGTAATGTTTTTAAGAACTTGAGTTCTCTTGTAAAGGAGCATATTAGTTTTGAAGATTGGTCGAAGGACCCTCCATTGAAAAACAATAGAAGTGAACGAACGCACTGACTTCTTTCTCTCAGTTTGACACAGAGAGAAGAGTACTTGTCTTTTGTATCATCCTTGTAAATAGCAAGCCTATGTATTTTACTGCTACTAAAAGCAGTTGGTGGTGATGATGATGATGATGTTTTCACAAAAGAGGAAGACAACAAAGTATTCTCCTTTGACTGAAAATAAACAATTTCAAAAAAGTTTTCCTCCTTTATCTTCAGCAAGCACATATCTCTTATCAGGTCGTGAATTTGGCAATGGTCAACTTTTCCCTTGTATGTCCGAGAATGAGGCTGAACCATGCACCTTTGTACTAGCTCTCCCATGTAACGTTGGGCTACGTCCATACTAGTTTCTTGTCCTCTTATTTCCTCGTGTGATATAAAACCTTCAGCTATCCATAGTTGATATAATTGCTCTAACTCAATCTCATGATCTTCTGGACAAAGTCCCAAGTAAAGAAAACATGGTTTTAGTCGGTATGGCAAGTCTTGATAACTATATGCTAATACTTCTTTTATGTCTTTGCATCCCTTCAAATATGAACCCATATTTCTGTGAACTTGTTCCCACTCCATCAAAGTATGTTTTTCCTTCAAAAGTCCTCCAAGAACAGCTATAGCTAAAGGTAAACCCTTACAATGTTGAACCATTTGTTTCCCCAACTTCTTTCTATCTCCATCAAGTTTTAAATCTACAACACAATGGTAATTATTGATATAAAACAAAATAATTGGTGTCTAGGTAAAGAAGTGCAGAATACTACTCCTTCAAAAAAATAAAAAGGACACTATATTACATTCTTAATGGATTTTAATCAACATAATGACAAGTTTACGTGTTTTTTAATTGTGCTAATAAAAAAATTGAAATGAAAATGAAGTGCATTCATGCCTTAAACCATATTTTTTAAAATATAAACCATATTTTTTAAAATATAATTACACAATAAAGAAATTAACTATTGGTACTACTTGACTATTTGAGCATTATCTAAATTTCGCTATTAGTTGAAATCCAAGTAGAATTTTGTATACACGATAGGGTTTTGTACATCTTTTATAATTCTATAAAAAAAATTCTATAATGTATATAATTCTATAAAGTAGATAATAAAGTATGGTTGACCTTTAGTGCTTAGAACTTCTTTTGTCAAAATTACTTTAATTAGAATACATGAATTAGCAATATAACAAACTCAACGGAGTCCTACTTTAGTTGGAAAATGTTACCATGATGGGTACACCTCAACCTATTTAATAATTCATATGGCTGTGTATTTATAATTGAACATTGTCTATAATATGTAATCAGTGAAACATACTATCCAATTTCACAATGGTTGATTACGTTAGAAATTCAAAAGCATAGTAAAGATGGAAAGAGAAAAGTAATTATAGGAGGAATTTTCATGATTACTTTAGACTATATCTTCTCTTATACATAAATTATTAAAGGCAATTGCAACTTCCACACGGTAGTAGCAACGACCACTAATGAAAAGACAATATTGATATTGTCACCAGAGCTGACTAGGCATGGAGCAAGTCGAAACCCATGTGTGGTGCTACTCCCGCTAATGCTCCAAAATATAACCCTTCAAGATCTACTAATATTAATAGAGAATGGGTAATGAAGAAGAACATAACATTTTAAAACTTGTCTACTACTTCGCTACAAGGGGTAAAAAGAGAGGTATACATAAATTAAAACTAATTTAGGTTAAAATGGTAAAGAGAGACTTAAATTATTTTTACTTAATTAAAAATATAATTTATGATGGAATGGATTGAAGACGAACAACCCATTTAAAATATTTAATTGATTGGTCAATTAACTGGCAGATCTAATATTTTAATTTCTTAATTTCTTTTAAGTATATAAAACTTCACATATATGAAGAAATCTATTAAGAAAAAAATAAGTAGAAAATCCTAATAAACTGCTAATCTGACCTGTACTTGCACTTTTTGAGAAGACTTTCTTGAACAATTGCCAACTCTCCTCCTCACTCAACAATTTTAGTTCATGGATGAAACAGTCATCCATCTTGGATACAACCCCGTTATTTCGGCTTGTGAGTAGTATTTTACTTTCCACATTCTCTCCGCTTGGAAAGGCAGGTTTTATGATCTCCCAAACATTTGGAGACCAGACATCATCAAGAACCACCAAACACTTCTTCTTCTTTTGAACATCATGAAGGCTTGTGACTAGCTCTTCATCTAGCATCCTCCTTACCTCATCCCTTTTCTCTAGTGAGGTAAGGCTAATTAGGATCCTCCGCAAGATATCCTTTTTATTCCATTGTTGAGACACACTAGCCCATGCAAAACCTTGGAAATGACGTCGAATGTCTGGGAGATTGTAAACCTTCCTTACAAGCATGGTCTTTCCCTGTCCACCCATCCCACTAATTAGAATTGCTCGAAATATAGGTTGTCCTTTATTTTCATTCAATAAACTTGCCACCACTTTCCTTAGATCATCCTCAAACCCAACAAAATTGTTCTCCACTGTATGGGAATAAGTCCTTCTTAACTCTAGTCCTCTCCCATCTATAGAGCTCAAATTGGACCTATCTCCTTCACTTAGACTTCTTGTGCCATAGTTTGGTAACTTTCTAGTGAATTCATCCATCTTGATATTAATTTCTTGATGTCTGAACCTATCCTGTGGATGGCTACAACTTCATTTAAGATGCATGCACATCTTTTAAGAATATCAAGAAAATTTCCTCTTCTCCCTCTCCTATGTTGAAATTCATCGAGGAAAGCTCCGAGGATAATCTCGGCACTATAAGCAAGTTCCCTAATTTCTTCAACCGAATGTTTGAATGTCTCAGTCTTCGTTTGCTCTAAATCTGCATCTTTTAAGAGTATTGAAAGCATTGTAGCTTTGCTTGCAAGTCCAAAGCTTGATCTTTCACTCCATATAAGAATTTTGCTTCTTCAGTCAATAGACGGCTTAATGTTTGTACAACAGAGGAAACAACAGCCTCAACCATTTTTAGGATATAGTTAATAAGAAAAGGAGTAACTGAGAGCTAACCATCACTCGATGGATCTTTCCACACTCGGCATTGAGCTCCGAATACCTAAAGCAAGTAAGAATAGAGGAATAAGCCAAATGCCTGTTGAGGAATCAACTAATTATACAAAAATATATTGTGCCTAACAGCAATTGATGCACTAACTTATGGTTACCATATTTTAATCGAATTGAAGAAGACAAGTCTAACAGAATAAACACATAAATCAAAATAAGATAAATGAATGAATCATACAATGTTCAGGTTGCCTAGTATACTAGTCCTCATTCCTGATAAGGTTATCTATATTATTTAACCAATTGAATAGAGCCAGCACACTTATATAGGCAAAGCCCTGATCAACCGATAAATATATATGTACATACATACATATATATGTGTGTGTGTGTATGTGTGACAGAGAGAGAGAGAGAGTACTAATAATTTAAGAACAATATCACTTTCAAGCCAGGAAACATATATCCAGTTGTAGTAACTTTCACACAGCATGATAAATTTTTCAAAGCAGCTTCAAAGTTATCTTTCCTATTTAAACTTTATAAGTAATTCCACAAGCTAAACTCAACCTATGTCAAGAACTAGCAAAGACAGACAATAGCCACATCATTTTCAAATGTCACTAAATTATAAATTCATATATTTCTGGCTTACGACATATATGTTCTCTAATCCAACAAGCTCCACTTGCAAAAAATTCATTCAATGGAACCATTTACATGTCACAGAAAGTTCATTCCAGATTTTATTGGGAAAATTTCTATTGTCATATGAAAACCATAATCCAAATTTTTCACTCACAAACAATGGCATATACCAGTAAGATCTCAATTATGACATCTAATCACACCATTGTACACATATTTCCAATTTGAGAAACAAAAGAATATTAAGTAAATGACCAACCATTATACCCATGTACCATGACAAGAAAGAAATTAAAAAAAAAAAAAAACAGAATATATGACGCTGGTTATAACCTCATCTACTTTTGAACCATGAGAATACTAACAAATCTATCATCCTTTTCTGTTGGGTTTTTTTTTTTTTTTTTTTTTTTTTGAAACAAGCAATTGAACATATTAAAGTACATCACAGCATATTAAGGTATAAGAAATTCCTGACCTGAATCCTATCAACTCCTTGAGCAATATCAGCTTCAATTTGGGCATCACACCTCAACCCAAGATTCAGCTATTTCTTGTAGAAGGCTCCCTCAACATCATAGACTGGATCTGTTTCGAAACACAGCCATTGGTACCTATACCTGTACTCTGATCACCAATATGTCCATTTATATATATTTATTCACTTGAATTATAGTATTTTCTCCCACCAATCCTCGATTTACTGCAAAAATAAACATAAGGGTGGTGAGGAGGGTACCTTTAGAGCAACAAAATCAGATCTTCCCTTGCTAAAGCTCAGCCAGACCCATAGCTAGACTTCCAACGGATTCAAGTGGGATTACTTGAAGCGGTGCAAGGACAATTCAAGGAAAGACCACTGTAACAATATGGACAGAATTTTAACCCAAGGGTGTAAAATAAAGAGCTGGAACAACATTTCAAACCCAGAAGCAATAGATGTAAGACATGGTGATCATTCCTACTGAGAACATGAACAAGTTGTGGAGAAAAATGAAGAAGCTGGCCAACACAGCTTGTTTCCGCCGCTTATAACTCTCGGTAGGAGAGAACATCGTTAGCATTAAGAGAAAAAGAAAAAGGGAGACAGAAAACGCCTGGTGGAAAAGTCTTTCGCACTTGCTTGTCGTCTACTTACCTTGATCAAGCAATACAATAAGACCAGAAGAGAAGACTTTGCAATTTGTGTTTTGGAATATATTCGTTGGCTGAGCTGGTTGGCTAGGTTCGGTGCTTGTCGTCTACTTACCTTGATCAAGCAATACAATAAGACCAGAAGAGAAGACTTTGCAATTTGTGTTTTGGAATATATTCGTTGGCTGAGCTGGTTGGCTAGGTTCGGTGCTTGTCGTCTACTTACCTTGATCAAGCAATACAATAAGACCAGAAGAGAAGACTTTGCAATTTGTGTTTTGGAATATATTCGTTGGCTGAGCTGGTTGGCTAGGTTCGGTGCTTGTCGTCTACTTACCTGGATTGAGCAATATTGGCTAGGTTCGGTGCTTGTCGTCTACTTACCTTGATTAAGCAATACAATAAGGCCAGAAGAGAAGACTTTGAAATTTGTGTTTTGGAATATATTCGTTGGCTGAGCTGGATGGGCAGGTTCGGTGCTTGTCGTCTACTTACCTTGATTAAGCAAAACAATAAGACCAGAAGAGAAGAGACTGAAATATGTGTTTTGGAATATATTTGTTGGCTGAGCTGGTGGTTAGGTTCATGGATTGAAAAACCGGACTGGACCGGACCGGCCGGTCGAACCGTCGACTGGTTATATTACCGGTCCGGTTTTTGCAGAAAATCGACATATGCCAAAAAATTGGCCTGTTTTTTGAGAACTGTCCGAACCGACAGTTGAACCATTCGAACTGGTGAACCGGTCACAGTTCAATACAAACTAGCAGTTCAATTATTTTGATAAAATTGTTAAAGTAATGTGTGAGGAAGGAATTGAACATTAGTCTATTACATAGAATACTGACTATTCTATCATTAGACTACTAATACTTTAGTGTAATCTTATTATTTGTTAAAATATATATTGACAATTTGTTTAAATTAATCTTATTCTAATTACATCACATAATGAATAATTCACATATTTCATAAAATTTTAAAATTAAAAGTGTAATACAAAATATAAAATTAAAATTATTTATATTAAATTTAATTCAATAATTAATATTTCATAAAAAAATAAAGAAGATGTAAATTTGAGTCTTTATACTACATTTCAAAGAATGGATATAACTAATTTAATTATTTTTAATTTTATATGTTATTTTATTTTTATAATTATTTGATATTATTTTTTTTGTCAATTTGTAACCACGTGAGGCAAATTATGACATATGAACTATTTTTTTCTTTTAGAATAGTTATAAAAATAAACAATTATAATTTAATATTTTCATCTTTATTTTGAATGATAGATTAATAGTTTGTTATTTTTATTTTGTATGCACTATAATAATTGAATCTTGAATATTAATTGATATTATTATAAATAATTAATAATATTGACCTTTAAATTTTTTTTGTATTTATATAAATATAAATATAAATATTATATAATTATGATCACGGTTCAATAATGGTTCAATTGACGGTTGGACTAGTGAGCCATGAACTGGTAACTTTTCTGATTCGATAAACGGTCTGATTTTTTAAACCTTGGTTAGGTTTGGTGTTTAACTTTAAAATAAGACCGGAGGACTTGACTAGAAATGACAGGAGAGAGCAATCGACAAATTTGTTAAAACATTAAAAGATTCTCTTAGGATTTTTAGAGTTTTTTTTTAATTTAAAATTATCAATTATTTTGAAATCCTAACTTCTTCCAAGATTTTCTTGAAAAACCACCCTACAACAGCTTTTATCTTTTCCCACCCCTCTTTATAGTATAGTTAAAACATAAAAACATTCTTTATTTTGAGAAATTATTAAAAAAAATTCCTTATACAAAATATTATATAAAAAAATACTATGATGCTAGTAAAAAAAGTCCTCTAAATAATTCTAAAATATAAAATTTCTGAATTTTTCTTTCAAAACGGTAAAATATTTAAATTTTAACACGCAATTATTTAATGATTTCATTTAATTCCCAATTAAGGTTTCCTAACCACAACCACAAATTCAACCTTATCTCATCATGACAAAGCCGATCAAGCAATAATACCAGATATTTTTCGAATGAAGGGTGAGAGATCCTCATTGAAACGCTAATGGCTGATAACGCACGCCTTCCCCCCCCCCCCCCCCTCCCTCCCTCCTCTCTCTCTCTCTCTCTCTCTCTCTCTCTCTCTAATCTTATGATCTCTCTCCATTTTTTTCTCTTTTGTAGCTTGCAAAAGAAAACTCCCTACTTTCTAGGCAAGAAAGTTTTATTTTTTACCGAAATTTTTATTGGGATTTCTTCGATTGGGACAGTCTACTAAGAATATCATTTCAGGGAAAGTGAGCAAGGGTTGGTAGCTCATTCGTGTCACACTTCTGATCACATGCATCACTTAGGGGTGATCAGGATTCGATTTTTTTTTTTTTTTTTTTATAAAATTATATCGTATCAATTATTTTAATTTTTTAGTATTAAAATAAAAATATGTCTTTTGATATCAATATCATTACTTTGATTTTATTTAGTTTCAATACAATTTGGTAAAATCTTTACAAGTTGTTTAATCATATTAAAACATTTAAGTAAATTAATAAAATTTTTTATAAAATCACACAAAAAAGGGCCTATTAATACATAAACAATATGAAAAATCAAATTATTTTAAGATTATATAATGTTAATAATTTTCTATATCTAAGGATTTAATTTCAAAACTTTTGTAACATCTTGAACCTAGTAATGATTTTGAATTCATTGATATTTTTGCATATTTGTATCATTTTGCATTTATGAACATTTATAATAGGCTTTGCAATAAAATTGG